TATATATATATATATATATTAGGGATGTCAACGAGTACCCAGTTAACTGGGTACTTGAGTATCGAATACTAAAAATGGTACTCGGTTACTCGGATGTGTATTTTTTTCTTTTTTCAAAGTACTCATTTTTATCAAAAACTAACTTAAATATGCATACGGTAATTACAGCGTGTAGTTTTCTATACCTGTAAAACACCCATTATCGCCTGTGGCTGTGTATATACAGTAATTAGTGACCAATCACCCAGCTGTTCTCACCTATTGTGGTCCTTAATTTTTGGATGGCTTCAATGATTGTTTTCAGTGAACATCGATGGTCTATTATCTTTAAATCAGTTTTAAATTATTTAGTTAATATACGGCAGCGAAATTGCACATGCATAGAAATGCCGCTACCCACTTCAAAAGAAGTGAAGAAATATTTAGAAATAACTAAAGATTCAAAATAAATGTTGAAAGTCTGTTTGCGTAGTAAGTTTAGTGTCTACGGCCGGGGGAAACAATCAACATATGAAATACACTAAACTTACAATAAAATTAGACTAGCAATCCCATCAACGTCCGTTACTTCTCTTTGGCTAGTCTAATAATAACAAACCTGCGTAACAGATTGTCCTCCTTTTGATGAAATAGATCCTAAACAAGAACTGTAAACCATTTGTAATTTTTGATGTATTAATTGTGTCTTTTGTGTTTATTTGATAAATAAATTTAGTACCAAAAATCATTTACGTAGAAATCGATGTTTATATACATTTATAAAGGTGATAAAAACAGCTTTGTGGTTTAACGGGGCTCAAGAAAATTAACATTCTTGTATTTACATTTTTATCGAGTACCCGGGTACTCGATCGGAAAAACGTCCGAGTAACCGATTATCAAAAATTGACCGATTTGACATCCCTAATATATATATATATATATATATATATATATATATATATATATATATATATATATATATATATATATATATATATATATATATATAAGAAGTAAAATAAAATAAAAAAAAATCACTGTGTGTCATCTATAGGCGAATTAAAGTAAAGTAAAAAAAAAACAATTTGCCATCTATAGGCGAATTAAAGTAAGGTAAAAAACGCTGTATTCCATCTATAGAAGAGGTAAGGTCAAAAGCACTATCATCTATATACAAAGTGAAGTAAAGTCTGTAGATAAAGTGAAGTCCAATCAGAAAGACTGTGTGCCATCTATAGATAAAGTGAAGTCCAATCAGAAACACTGTGTGCCAACTAAAGGCGAAGGGAAGCAAAGTCAAAAACACTGTGTGCCATCTATAGATACAGTGAAGTCCAATCAGAAACACTGTGTGCCAACTAAAGGCGAAGTGAAGCAAAGTCAAAAACACTGTGTGCCATCTATAGATAAAGTGAAGTCCAATCAGAAACACTGTGTGCCAACTAAAGGCGAAGTGAAGCAAAGTCAAAAACACTGTATGCCATCTTTAGGCGAAGTAAAAGCAAAAGACACTGTGTGTCGTCTATAAGCAAAGTGAGGTAAAGTCAAAAAAGACTGTGTGCCATCTTTAGGCGAACTGCAGTAAAGCCAATACACTGCATGTCATTTATTGGCGAAGTAAAGTTAATTTAAAAAATAGTTTGTTCCAACTGTAGGAGAAGTGAGTACCAAGACACTGTATGCCAAAGGTGATGTGAAGTAAAGTAAAAAAAAAAAATTCCCGTGCTTTCGGCGGAATGAAGTAAAGATAAAGACGGTATGCTTCTTGTGGAGTAAGGCACAGACACTTGGGGTATGGACCCCCCCCCTCTTTCCATTGTTTTTCTTTTTAAATCTGGGGTCGAGTAACCTTTTTCCTATTTTTGTATTCTAATATGCACTGTATGTTGTCAATAATGTAACTCTTTTGTCTCTATAAGCTGTTTTTAAATATATCGTTTTCGACTGATACATAAAAAGAGAGAAGGCTTGCAACTCTTTTCTCATCGGCTGCCTCACCTCGCTTAAACTTCGCCTGATTATTTATCGAAAGCATAAGAAAACATGGAATATGCATACATCAATAAATTCGTTATACATTCTTCTTCCTTTTCATATTTCCATTTAATTTTTATGTGCCCCCGATTTGTAAATATTTCGATTAAATCACCCGCATCTAGGGTAAATTTTGTTGATGTGCACCAGCTGGGACGGAAGTGCCCGGTATTTTCGGGTATCATCATTACGTGTAATGTCATTCGGAACATTAAATGCGAGAAGGAATAAATCCCGAATTTTCTCTTCATATAACATGTAACGGTAAGTTCTGTGAATAACAAGATAACTTTAACTAGCAAATTCTAATGGATGAAGATTAACTTTTAACTGACGACCTAGACAACCAAATTTCACAATATTGTTATTGCAAAGCTTGGAATTTTTTTTATGGTTGTATGTTCGTTCGCCCTAAAACTTGTTCGCCCTTGACGCCGTTCGCCCTAAAACTTGTTCGCCCACGGTCCGTTTGCCCTATTTATATTGCAGAAAGTTGAATAATGAACCAATGGATTTTTTTCGATAGTAGTTTGATGAATTTTCATCTTCCTTCTTCCTATGTATCATTTTTTAGATCAAAGGTCTCATATCTTCAAAGGTAAAACCTTGCTTATCCGCTGCTCAGCTCCATAATGGGCCTATTAACGTCTCAGTCCTTTAATTGTTATCAAAACATACCGCGGATTGTTAAAAAACACGGATATGATCCCCGAAATTGCAGTGACACTATTAAGTATAATTCAACCAATTAAGCATGTATTAAGGAATCACTGTCTAGTTAGTAGAGTATGCCAGGGCATCAACGATAGTTGGAAACGTGAGATAATTTGCATAACGGGAAGCCCGTTATGCAAATTATCTCACGTTTCCAACTATCGTTGATGTCCCTGGCATACTCTACTAACTAGACAGTGATTCCTTATATTTCCATTTCATTTTGAAATAAAAATGTAAATTTAGATTTTAAAAATGTAGACTAATAGATTTAAATTACATGAGGCCTCACATGTCAATTTCAATAGTCCCCGCCCACTGACGTCAAACACAAAGACAGCCGCACGAGAATTACATGCATATTAGGCCTCCTTAGAGTCTGACACAGACAGCGCACGAGAATTACATGCATATTAGGCCTTCTTAGCTACTGACCTTTCGCTTGGCAAAATTTGCATTCCTTTAGAATGATCAAGAAATCAACTCTCCTAACTTTCAAAGAGTTATCACAGAGAAAACAAATAGAAATGGAAATATGTATATATATATGAGGGCGAACGAGATAAAGGGCGAACGAGAAATAGGGCGAACGGACCCTGCGCGAACGGACTCATGCAAACAGGTAGATAGGGCGAACGGACCCGATACCTATAAAGTTAGAGTTACCGTTATTGCACTTCCGTCCCAGCTGGTGCACGTCAACAAAATTTACCCTAGATGCGGATGATTTAATCGAAATATTTACAAATCGGGGGCACATAAAAATTAAATGGAAATATGAAAAGGGAGAAGAATGTATAACGAATTTATTGATGTATGCATATTCCATGTTTTCTTATGCTTTCGATAAATAATCAGGCGAAGTTTAAGCGAGGTGAGGCAGCCGATGAGAAAAGAGTTGCAAGCCTTCTCTCTTTTTATGTATCAGTCGAAAACGATATATTTAAAAACAGCTTATAGAGACAAAAGAGTTACATTATTGATAACATACAGTGCATATTAGAATACAAAATAGGAAAAAGGTTACTCGACCCCAGATTTAAAAAGAAAAAAAATGGAAAGGGGGGGGTCCATACCCCAAGTGCCTGTGGAGTAAGGTAGGGTCAAATAGACAAACACCGTGCTTTGGTCGACAAACGCGGGAAACTTTAATCGGAATAAGGCTATGTTAAGGTCAAGATCTAGTAAATGAGTTTAGACTGTCTTTTTGGTGCTAGATCCATTATGACGTCATAATTGATGTAAACTTAATTTTTCCCGTACTTTACACTGTTATAGAATTATGTAGGAAATGAAACATTTTCATGGAATTCAATTTGAAATCATGTCAAAATTAACCCCGATACCTGTATTCAAATTAATATCATTTTAAAGAAGAGGTCAAGAAGATATGAAAAACTGTTTTCTGAAAGACTGTAGGCAATATTGATACATTTTCTTTTTCTGAGAAGGAAAAAAAATCTCATATTTATACCTGAGTTCCTTCATTTTTCACTGAAAATAACAGTTTAAAGTATCTTTTTTCGTTGAGTTTACCTAAAAATTATGCCCCGATACACCGAATTTCGCCAAGCTATATTTGTAAAGGATCATTGAAAGAACTTGTTTCTCAAATTTGAGAAATCTGAAGGCACCTTTCATTTACTAGATCTTGACCTTAAAGAAACACTTTGCGCTTTTAGCCGATTAAGGTAAAAAAGGACAAACACTGTGTTCTTTAAGCAATGTGAAGTAATGTTAAATTTCAAAAATACTGCGTTTTTCAGGCGAAATGAAGTAAAGTAAAAAAACAAACAAATAAACATAATAATAAAACAACTAACTTAAAGTACCTTGTGTATAATAAGGTAACGTAAAAGATAAACACAATGTGCTCTAGATGAAGTAATGCCAGGCCAGACAGAAAAAATAAACACAATGTGCTTTAGGTGGAGTAATGCCAGGCCAGACAGAAAAAATAAACTTAATGTGTTTTAGGTGGAGTAATGCCAGGCCAGACAGAAAAAATAAACACAATGTGTTTTAGGTGGAGTAATGCCAGGCCAGACAGAAAAAATAAACACAATGTGCTTTAGGTGGAGTAGTGCCAGGCCAGACAGAAAAAAATAAACACAATGTGCTTTAGGTGGAGTAATGCCAGGCCAGACAGAAAAGATAAACACAATGTGTTTATGATGGAGTAATGCCAGGCCAGACAGAAAAAATAAACACAATGTGCTTTAGGTGGAATAATGCCAGGCCAGACAGAAAAGATAAACACAATGTGTTTTAGGTGGAGTAATGCCAGGCCAGACAGAAAAGATAAACACAATGTGTTTTAGGTGGAGTAATGCCAGGCCAGACAGAAAAGATAAACACAATGTGCTTTAGGTGGAATAATGTCAGGTCAGACAGAAAAGTTATACACAATGTGCTTTAGATGGAGTAATGCCAGGCCAGACAGAAAAGATAAACACAATGTATTTTAGGTGGAGTAATGTCAGGTCAGACAGAAAAACACTTACAAATGGATAAACCATTGCTATTAAAACAAAACATTTTAGAATTAAAACAAAGTTTGAAATATATTCATTTCTTCCAGTCTTTGCAATAAGACATCTTAGTCTGTGGAATGACACCTAGAGTTGTTTTTATATCATACTACATCCACCTCTGTTTGAACACTAACTGGCGTCTCCCCAGAATCGGCAACTGATTCCTCTAGTTGATCAGGCTGATTCTCTTGACACCATGGTAAACATGAGCGTAATTTGGTGATTTGTATACGTATGCGAGTGAGCGTCTCCTTGCGCAGAAGAATGTAGATCCATGAGTCAAATATGGCATTAGTGACAGCTAGGGCCACGGCTGTATTATCCTTTGGGTCTTTTTCTGTCGTCCATTGTGCCGCAAAAGAGAGCATAGTAATCTGGAAAAAAGAAATTAGATATTTGAACAGAAGCACACCATTGGTACAACTTCTTGTGTACAGCAATATCTCCCAGTGTACTTCCCATGTACTGTTTGATTCCTTCCATAAATAATTATGTCTAGAACAGTCAATTACAATGTGTAACCTTTAAAAATTTTTAGCTTCTTCTTTACAAATTTCAAATAAATTTCGTGTATAGTATTTAAGATTAATGCTTCTAAGTTCGTGATAATGTTTTTCCGTTGAATTTTGATTCATTTTCATTACTGGAATGGATATTTAACCATGTCGACCAACGGGCTCCCAAACCTAACATACAGATACTATTATATACTCATATGTCGTACAAGTAATGTGCATTATAAAATACCAAAAATAAAACTGTTGATATTTGTTAGAAGATATTCAGCAAAATTATTAGCTGAACACATTCTTGTCGGTGACGAAAGACCTTGATATTCTTATACAGCGACCAAAAAAAAAAAACACCCTAAAAAAAGGTAAATTTAACAACGCTAGTCATATACATGACTGTAATTGACAATGGGCTTGGCAAATGAGCTGATAAAGATGTATGCTCACCATAACTGGCGCTGTGCAGACGAGAAACAGAGTGACGAGAACTACAAAGTAGACGGCTATGGACACTTGACTGCGAGTGCTCCGTGACAATTTAGTTCGACACAACGTTACTATGACCACACAGTTTGATATCACGATCACCAATATGACAAGAATTCCAAATATGGCAAAGACGAAGGCACTTGCACGATCGAGGACAGACTTGCCCAGATAATTTAAGAAACACCACGTGCCTGGATAAAAGTTAAAATTTGTACCAAATCCGAGCAGATGCAGACAGCTAAAAATAGCCGAAAACGCCCAGACAGACACAAGCATTATGTTCACTCGTTTACATTTTATTTTGAGCTTTATACGCCATTGGGAAAAGCACAGCAACGAATCTATCTAAAGACATCATACAGACAATTAGAGCTGATGACGTAATGGTAAACATCAGCGTAAAGGAGCTAAAGTTACAAAGATCTGGCGGGAAAACGTAGGTAAGGTTTGACGCAAAGCGAACAAGAATGGTGGGGAATATCAATAGTGAGCCTCCAGCATCTGTGATGACCAATCCAAGCACAAGTCTTTGAAATGGAGCCCATTTGTGACCTTTTGAGGACGAAATCAGCACATACAATGCCAAACCATTTCCGATAAATCCCAAAGAAAATATGAAATAAACTGGAATAGTGGTAGCAGCGATTGACTCCCGGAGAATCAGCTGATCACTCGAATTGTCACTCATTTCTTACTGCAGAGTAAATAAAAATATTTTGATTATGCTTAGACAGTTTGTAAAGTTTTCCTGGATCATCAATGTGACAAAAGCATGAAAAGCCCACACATATTTTTAAACTTGTTACATACACTTGACTAAGATGACTATTCAGCATCCTGCTCAATGTTTATTTCCTGTCTCTATCATATATACTACCGTGGTGTCATACTGTGGTGCCATATTACTATGGTATCATACTATCGTGGGGTCATATCACCGTGGTGTCTACCGTACATTCACTTTTTACATTATATTCTGTAAATTATAGGTTGTAAACGAAATACCGTACATTCACTTTTTACATTATATTCTGTAAATTATAGGTTGTAAACGAAATACCCAATCAACCGGGTACTCCTAATCGTTTATTTTTACGAAGGCCCGTGTATAGTGTACCATATTAAATACTCAGTGAGAACCGGTCGCAGTATCCTAGTGGTAGAGCGCTCGCTTCGTGATCGGAAGGTACCAGGTTCGATTGTCGTTCCCGGTACCGCGTCAAACCTAAGACGTAAATTAGACTTCCTGATCTGCGATTTTGAAGTATCTGTTGTATTTTAAGACTTTCTGATCTGTGTTATTGGAATATCTGTAGTATTTTATAATTCCTGATCCGTGTTAATAGAATATCTGTTGTATCATGTATATTCATTACTAGGAAAGGAAGTTATATTCATTTCATAATACTCATTTGACATACTTATAAAAAGTGAAAGTGAATCATTGGAAAACCTTGCAAGTTGTTTCGTTTTATATTATTTACGTGAATTCATAGTACGGTGTAATATGTGACCCACAGAAAAGAGTTATGTATGTTGTACAAATCATTTACACAAAGTCAATTATCTGAAACATTTACTTCTTAAGTTATATGTTAAGTGTACATTTGAGAATTCAGAAAGTGTCAGAATGGATAAAGCGTATTACTTGTATATAAAAAAAAAATAGAACAAAAGATTAATGGAAGTGATAGAAGAATTAGAATTAGACTACATGAACAATATGTGATGCTTCTAGCTGACAATGCTTGTTATAATATAGTCTTTGCTTGTAAGATTCATTATTTTAACTGCATTTTAGCAGAACTTGGCTTTAATTAATTAGTTCCGCATTTGATAAACCCATTTATTTCACAGATGCCTTTCAAAGGATTAATTTCTTTAAAATAACATGCAGTTTGTTTTAACACTCCAGTCAACCGTAGTGGATTTGAGTTACCGTGCCTACACTGGATTTCAAAGTTCATAAATTTCCTTGTAAAGATGATTTGCAGGATCCAATAAATGTTTCACGAAATCCTATCTTTACTCCTCACAAAAGTATTAACTGATGGAAGAACTTTAGACATACTGTGGTACAACATATTCAAGAGATTTTGTCAATCGAATGTGAATTCTCAAAAACTCACATATATTAATGAGCTTTTAAAACATTTAAAATCACATTTCCCCTAAAACTCAATTGCATCAAAACATCTTATAAAAACATTATAACGATAAATTAAAAACCAGACTTAATTCATAATAGACGACTTTTTCTTCAATAAATATGGAACACTCAGAATACTTACAAAGTTACTTTGTCAAAAACTCTGAAGCTGAATTAAAATGATGCTGGAATTCCTCACTAACAATATAAATGTAGGCTTTGGAGACCGTTTCGTCTGACTACCTGTTGGAATTTATATTGGCACTAATTGTGCTCGATCTGTTGTTAACAGACATATTTTGATATTCTTATGAATTGAAATTTATGCAAAAACTTCTGCATGAGTAAAAGGAAACATTTAGCTATGTCGACGAAGTTTTGTCAATTAACAATAGTCATTTCCATTCATATGTCAACTCGATATATCCCAGAGAACTGAAATAAAAGACCAAAAAGTCTATTAATTTGATGTTTTACTGACAATATCGAACTAACAACTAAACTATATGACAGCCGTGATGACCTCAGCATTTCCATCGTCATTTTCCCCTACTTATGTATTAATAATGCATTATCACCTGTATATAGTATCCATATTTCCCTATTGATTCGAGCGCAAGAGCACGGACAATTTTTAAACGGAGGCAGGTTACTGACAGTAAGTTGCTGTTACAGGACTATCATCTATCTCGTTAAAAGATATCATTTGAGAAATTCTGTGGTCGATATAATGACCTTGTTTGTAAATACAACCTATCGCTGGATCGTACTTTGACATTTTTCATTTAAATTGTTAAGCTGTTATTGTATCACCAATTTTACTACGGAGAATTCCGTCATTACATAGGGTTCATGGTGGATGTGTTCGGTCAACAAGGGATGCGTACTCCTCCTAGGCACCTGGCCTCGAGACCATAAACCGAGAACAGACTCAAGTCAAAATTTTGATTTTGAATATCTGAAGTTTTATTTAACATATATACTTAAAAATGTGCAGGTTTGTTTAATATTCCAATGTTAACATATGAAAATTTTGTTCCATTATCAAAATCATTTTAAAAGTTATATTGATTTGAAATTTTGACTTAAGTCTGTTCTCAGTTTATGGTCTTGGGGCCAGATCCCATTTGTGGTGTTTCCAGGGTTCCGTTTTTTTTTGCCCTGTTCACGATTTGTTTTGTTTACAGGATTTATGAGATAATCACTGATCACTGTTGGTTATCTTCATCTGCTTCATAAGCAGTGACACAACAAACTATAGTTTTGTTATGATCGCTGGAAAGTATGCAAACCATAGCAAGTACTTATTTCTAATTAAGAAAGAATTTTTATGTTATTCTATAAAACTTAACTTTAATTGTAAATAGGATTATGAAGACGATCAATCGTTAAATGTTATATCTTAAAATATACAAAACTGTTGTTCCAAACAAAAGTATATATTTTTCCATATTTTGAAATTATCTGACATGTTTTCAATCTGCATGTTAAAAACTCCAGTTTTTGGGTTTTATATGTGCTTTGAAATCTTATTTTCTGAAAAACTAGGAAAAGGAATATACCTAATTAACGACCTCAAAGAGGAAATAGCTTTGGATGAAATTATCCAAAAAATAGAACAAAAAAAGTATCAGAAATGTAACGAAAGTGCTAAGTAGAGAAGTAATGTAAACATGGATCGGATATCAGAAAGAGGTTTGGTAAAGAAAGTCCTAAAGAGAACGGAAAGTAGACGTACATGTATAGCCTCATAGGGACACAGCACTCTAGATAAACCAAACAGATCAATGTATTTGATAATAACACCGAGATTCCTAAAGAGAGGAATGGTTAGATATGGCCTCTTAGAGACACAGAACTCCGGATACTTGTAAAGTATCTTGGCTGATATGCAGGTGACACACCAAGTTTTCCTGTTTTGATAAGAGAAAACCACATTTTAAAAACAAATAAGTCTTCTGTTAAATCGAGTCATCAACGAGATCAATCAATGTTTAATAAGACTTTCAAAAGTAAATAAAACCCTCAGCTGAATGAGCTGTGACATTAGACCCTCAACAAACTAATTCAGAGAATTTGTGTCCCCCGCTTAGGGAAAAAAAAGAGAACATGCGCAGTTCGGAGGGGGGGGGTCAACCTGCCCCCTGTATTTGTAGAATCATTAAATGTATACATGTATATTGAAGCAAATTAAAAAAAATGCCAATATGGATATAAAGATTTGATTGCTTATTCTTTAATATGTGTATAGAAGATTATTTTTAATAACAGAATATTTATCACACTGTAATAATGATTTTATGAGTTTGTACACGCCAGACATCATAACTTTTTAATTTCACATGTAGAATAGCATCATTAAGTAACACCCCCCCCCCCCCCAATAAAAATAAAAAAAGAGAATCGTCCGGGGATTGATCCCGGGCTTCTCGCTTGCTAAGCGAGCAACATACCACTAGACCACGGAGGAACTTGATTAAACAGCAAATTAAATGCAAACATTAAGTCACATATAATGTTTACGTTTGATATTGTCAAAATTTTACACAATAAATGTTGTCTAATTTAGCCTTTACTAAACAGTTCTAAAAGATGTAATTAGAATATGAAGTCCGCCGCCAACCTGTATTATACGTAATAACTCTCCACATGCCCTGTGCTAAAAATAGTGCCAAGCGACTTTTAATACAGTAAATAAACACTTTGAGAGGGGCAAGAGAGGCCACAGGGAGTTATGGTATAAAATTTCATTGCAAAAGCTCAAAACCTCCTTGAGATATCGACCGGGAACGAAAGTTTTACACACAGACGGAATGTATGAATATACAACCTTGAACTTTGACCTTTTGACCTCAAAATCAATAGGGATCTTTCGTAGGCCACAGGGAGTTGTTATGTAAAATTTCATTGCAAAAGCTCAAAGAATTCGCGAGATATCGAAAAATATAACGAAAGTGTTAAAACAGACGGAATTTATGACCTTTGACCTTTTGATCTCAAAATAAATAGGGTTCTTCTTTAGGTCATAGGGAGTTGCTTTGCAAAATTTCATTGCGAAAGCTCAAAGGGTTCTCGAGATATCGCGCGGAAACGAAAGTGTTACAGACAGACAGAAATACAGACGGACGGACGGACGGACGGACTGACTGACGGACGGAGGGTAGGAAAGACAGACCCAAATTAATGTCCCCCACTTTCAGTGAAAGCGGGGGACAATAACATTTTCACTTTCCGACAAACGTTTTTGTACACTTTAGCAGAGAATTAATTTTGAAAGCTCTCAGACAACCTAATGGGAATGAGAAAAATAATAATCATTGAACAGTCCATCTCCAAAACATAACATGAACAAAGCCACTGTTCAAAGACAATGGCAATAAACAAAAATTTAAAAAATTAAAAAAAAGGGCGTGATCATTCTGATTATTTCGAATGATTGATGTTTAAGATATATACATGCATGTGCCAGCAAATACTGGTGAAAACATATCTCGCCAAATAACGTCCTACTTGAAGACATTTTTGTGAAAACATTAATAATCTACACAAGTTGGACATATGACTGAATAGAAAACGATATATAAGTGTTTTATGTACAAAAAATATGCTTTGTACAAGAATATAATCCAGTTTATATATATAGTGTTTATCTATCTATCTATCTATCTATCTATCTATCTATCTATTTATCTATCTATCTATCTATCTATTATATATATATGTTCTCAGTTTATGGTCTTGGAGGCAGGTATCATAAGATATTGACATAAATTTGAAGGTTGACATAGAATCATGTGTTGTACATATATGTGTCTTCTTACACTACATCATTTCTCCATGTTCTCAACACATCAATGTTTCCTATGGTTACCGTTGAACCCGTCTCTGTTACTTTGGTCTGGCAGATACGGCGTTCTCTCTCGCAACGTCGTTCTCTCTCAGAATTTCTACCTATACTGTTGTCATGGATGGATTCATTAACGATGTGAAGTCTACGTTCTAGTCCACGTTGCAGTTTTCTCAGCCCCAAAAGAGTCTCCTTTCTCAGCAATATGTAGATCCAAGGATCAATGATGGAGTTAGTCACCGCAAACCTCAGGACAAGAAGTTCTAGTTTACCATCGCCTCCCTTCTCTGATGCTTTCATTAAGGATGAAGCATGTGCAAAAATCACAACCTACCAAAAAAGAAGTTTTCATTCATTAACTGTCCATTTTGCCTTTTTTCTGACATACAGTCATATCCCTCTATTTTACAACTTTACTCCTCCACCCCTTTGGCAAATCGATAGGTGTTTTCCCAACGGAGACTTCAAGTCTATGTTTTTTTTCTAAAATTCTCCTTGTGTACAAATTGCATTGAAGAATTTGAGCTTGATTGTACGAAAGATTGGAACAGAATGCTCGACGATATCTGCTAAAATGCATGGATACAGGTAAAACTTTACATCTACGATTGGACGGTAATCACATTCTCATTTTTGCAATTGTTTATAAATATCTTTACATATAATCTTATCACATTATATGCTTAAAAGTAACTATGGTTTAATGATGTTTCAAAAAGCGTTAACAAAATTTCAAATTACAATGCTTGCATTTAATTTCTGGTGTATTTAGTTAAAGTCATCAACATGTACAGCATGCAAGACCCGTTGTGTGTAAAGTTACGGAAATTTATTGCAATCTAATATTTTTTACTGAAGGAGTATTTAAATCACCTGCAACAATTTACTTATTTTTTGCCCCCCCCCCCCCTTTAAAAAAAACAAAACTCATACACAATTCTAAAATTTCTTGTCACACAAGTCAAGATAAATAATTTTGTCCTATTTTTACTTCAGAGGTTTTCTGAATAACTTCACTAAAATCTGAATAAACTTAGAAATCAATATTTATTAATTTCCCTTTTTAAATAAAAAATAAAAAATACATGTATACCTACCATTTGTTGAATCCAGCTATTGGTGAAAATGAGAAAACTTCTATTTTTGGAGCCCAGTGTGTGATAAAATGACAAAATATACATACCTTTAGTGGGGCCCAGAATGTGGAAATAAATGACGAAAAGTATATGCCATACTGTACAGGGGAATAATTTCACGGGTTGTAATTTTCACGGTTTTCTCTCCCCTGACACGATCGCGGTTTGTTGAATTCGCGGAATCGGTATATAATAAAAGTTACCTCCCTTGTCTATATCCGTTTTATCCAGAACGACATTATTCACTTTAAAAACAACAGGGTAGGTTTATATAAAATACTTAGATTTAATAATTAATTGACGATAAATTAAAACAAGTGCAGTTAATAAAAGTCCTTTACTATAAACGTCGAATGACTTTCTTATATACTATTACGATGAGTGCATGTACACCCCAAAATCTTCTTTCCGAAGGGATAATACATCGCGGCAAAAAACCACTGGACGGTAAGAAGTGTGTTAATGTAGGTCGAAGAAATAATATCCTTCCACATCTTCAGCAAGTTCAATAGTTATTTGAATGATTTTTTAAAAACAAAATGTCGATAAAAACTAATACGCATGATAATGCAGGTAACAAATACACGTGGTCACATAGTTATGCACGGGTAATCAAAACCCATGACCCACGTGTTTTGATTGATCATGATGCATCGTGGGCTATTAAAACAGCTTTTTAACAAATACGGGTTTATTATCTGCTGATCTAAATTAGAGTAACGCGTGATAATTAAAATAATTGAATGACAAGTGCGACTCGTAATTACTGAAATGACCATGTAATACATGTATATATACCTATCGTAGTCTAATCTCAAATTTCCAAATATAACATGGAGGTTATTGAAAACTTATTCACTGTTTCTTGAATTCACGGATTTATTAACACCGTGAATATAGCGAATATTAACACCGCGAGTTATTTTCCCCCTATACAGTATAAGTAGCGCTCAGCAGGTGGTGAAAATGACAAATAATACTTACCTTTATTAGGGCCCAGTACGTGGTGAAAATGACAAAAAAAAACTTATCATTACTGGGGCCCAGCACGTGGAGAAAATGACAAAAAAAACCTTATCATTACTGGGGCCCAGCACGTGGAGAAAATGACAAAATAAACTTACCATTAGTGGGGCCCAGCACGTGGTGAAAATGTCAAAATATACTTACCATTAGTGGGGCCCAGCACGTAGAGAAAATGACAACGATAACTACCAAGAACAGGATGATGTACACATCACTTCTAACGCGTCGTCTTGAGGACAAGTTATTTTCCCGTCTAATGTTTCTACACACAGTCACAATCACAGAGATGTTTAACGAGATCGTGCAAATCAGAATGAGCAATCCAGAAATGGAGTAAATGAAGGAATTGATGCGGTCTACGGTAGTTCCTCCCACAAAGTTGAGAAAACACCATGACTTGGGATAGTAATTGTATGTAGATCCTAGACCCATTAGATGTAAGGTGGAAAGAATAAGTCCAATGAACCAAATCAATGCAAGAATGCAGTTTGTTCGTCGACCTTTGTTCCCTGAATTGTAATGAAATGGATAGAGAATCGCAAAGAAACGATCAAAGGACATTGCACAAATGATCATTGCAGATGATATCAAAGTAAATGTGTATATAAATGAACTGTAATCACATAGCTCTTTTGGAAATTCAAATGTAAAGTTTGAAGCGTAACGACTCATTACTGTTGGATACACCAGAAGAATACCACCTCCGTCAGTTATAGCCAATCCACACACAAGCCTATAAAACGGTCGCCATTGATGGTTTTTGGAAGACAAAATCAGCACCACGAGAGCAATTGCATTTCCAATCACCCCAAAAGCAAATTGAAGAGCAGGAGGCGTAGGAGATTCCCATATACTTTCGCCAGTTGAATTGCTGGAAATTGATTTGTTCATTTTCAAAACAAAAATTTAGAAAATTTCACGTTAGATACCACCAAAAATTCTTCAGTTTTGTGTATCAAATTTTGCCAAGAATTCAAATAGTCATCTATATGGAGAGATCATAGGAATGTGTACCCTCCCTTTTGAAACAAGCACGTGTCCTCATGTGTTCTCGTAAAAATGTATTTGCTCCGGTTACTTCTGTATAAATAGGTCAACAAGTTAAAAGTAGCCTTTATCAGGGCAAAAAGTTAAATAGCCTTAAAACTTTTAGAGAATAACGTTTATCGTTAATATATTGAAAATGGTTGCTATACACTCCTGTCTGAATCTTGTTGCTGATATAACCTCCTGTCCGTATCTAAGTTAACGTCCCTCTAAGGAAAGTGTAGATAAAAAGTTCATAAATCAAAGAAAAGGAGACAAAATGTTCAAATCCTATTTCAAAAGGTGAAAGGCCACCCTGTATCCTCATTACCACGTTTTCATAATACATTATCTATAAACAAAAGTTTCACAAGGAGGAAAAAATCATCCAAAGAAAGAAATTAATTTCACTACAGGCTTAGCAGGCTTCATAAACGTATTGTATTCGAGGGTTAGTGATCGAATCTAACCTTGGTTTAAGTACTGTTATCAAAATAGTTTGTCCTAAATTCCTCTGGTGTGCACACATATGATTATGATGAGTGATTGTTGACAGAAATAAAATGGCAGAAAGGTGTCTGAGATACACTCAATAAATATGAACACCGAATAAACATAAGAGGCACAGTTGTAGTAATGTTTTAGTAAATAACATTTCTATAAACCATATTTGTTTGTAGTTTGTTTCAAAAGGACATCTTTTTCATCGTTTGAATTTTGACTTCAGGATAGATCTTGTAGAGTGTTAATGACGGTGGGGTACAGATATATGTAAACTGATTATAAAACAAGAAAAAAGAAACAGTGGCACGTCAAATGGAAAAGAAGATTGGCGAAGAAAACTGGCAAAATGCCTATTGTGAGACAATCAAGAAATTAAATATCAATTATAACAAAATATTTTCTTTGTTTTTCATTTAATAATAACAAATACTTTCTGTAAAAACTTCACAAATTGCAACAATCTAATAAAAATTTGAAATTATGCGTCCTTGAAATGGCATATATACACACCAAAGAGGGAAAAATGATCAATTCGTCATACTAAAATATAATTCTTCCATATGAGTGGGTCTTCACTCCATATTTTTTTTTTGAAAGATTTTACTCAAAGTATGCGTAAAACTATACATTTTATATACATACATATACATAAACAGGCTTTTTGACATCATAGACAGCTGATTTTCCATAAAAATAAAATTTACTTCCTTGTAATTTGTCATTTGCAAAATTATTTTGTTAAAAAGCATTGTACACACAATAACTATGAAGTAGATATTAAAAAATTGTTTGAGTTTCTGATTGACAATATCTATGTAGTTTTTGAAGATCAGGTCTTCCAACAATCTGTTGAATTTCCATGGGTACCCATTCCGCCCCTTAATTATCAGCAAACCTTTATTTGTACTCATATAAAGCAGAGTTTATTTAAAAATTATAAATGAAAGGAAGAGGACCCTTGCTTTGGCCTTCGACTCGACATTTAGATATATATCGACGACATATCAAATAACGATAGTCATATGACTCGATACATCCCAGTGAACTTGAAATAAAAAATTCCAACATTCTTTCAATATCAACTTCACAGTACTATTGTGTAGAATCAGAAGATTTTTAACAAATTTTGTTGATGACCAATCACGAGACACGAAAATTTTCGAGTTCCAATTTTATTAATGAAGCAGCTGTCTATGATACCAAAAAGTCTAGTTTTTAGTTTATAGTGAGGAATAGTTGTATAAAGTGTAGAAAAGTAATGCAAGATGAAATTTATAATCTCCTAGAAATAATAAATGCGCATTTTTTCATTGGTTTATATTTGAAATTGAGAATGTAAAAAAATAAAAGTAATAATAATCATCACGTTCGGAAATGACTAGAATTAAATATAGGAATTGTATCATCGTATAATATACAAGGTAAAATGTTGATACATTCTTTAGATTTATTAAATTCATTTAAACAAATCTTTACGTTTAAATTAGGGCTTTTGATATAGCTTTTAACCGTATCTATAGACTCGTATAACATAGATTTTAACGGTATCTATGGGCTCCTTTGATATAGCTTTTAATGGTATCTATGAGCTCGTTTGATATAGTTTTTATTAGTATTTTTGGGATAGTTTGTTCCATGTAACTTTGTTTAACCTTTGTAAAATTTTGGAAAACGTTTAGAACATGTAAAATGATTCTATAGATTTTTTTATCACATAATACACTATTTTTTTTATATTACTTTTGGTAAAAAAAAATCCAATGTTACTTTAATATTTTAAAAGATCCTTTTATTTCTAAATAAAAACATTTCATCTTTCAATATGGTGTTAGATTTATCAACACTTTTGTCGATCGTTGTTATTTTAGCAATGGCATGTCTCATAAACACATTATAGATATCTATAGAAATTTTACCAAAATACACGAACAAAGGAAAATGTAAACAGTTTTCAATATCATTGCTCTGCTAAAACGATGATATATTGAGTATATCTACAGTATGAAATACATGATATATCTTTTTCACTTACTGCAGAAACCGGATTATCATGAATGTCAAGATACTAAATACTTTAGGGAAAATACAATAGTTATTAAGGAAAAATAATGTTTTGACAACAGTTTTCCGGTTATATCAGATAATACATTTTATGAATTTTTCCTGGCAGTGGTCAGTAAATGTAAGCTAGATATGGACTGAAATACATTAAAGAACATCCACTTCAGTATAAAGAGGTCAACAATGGGCCAACAATTTCTCGTTGTTCAGAATTTGTTCAAGACTATAACTGATAGTAATATGAAGGCATTTGTCTTGTTCTATATATTGCGATCATATTAGAAATGTACCGAGTTTTCAATTCTTTTGCATTGTGCTTTTCATAGAAAAATCTATAAAATCTGTAGTAAGTCATTGTCAAATTTCATTATTAATTCTTTTGTTTCTTAACACAATTTTACGTTGCTTTGAGGAATGAGTTCATATGTCAACATTTTGTTCCTTACTTTCACTTAATCGTAATTCCAGAGGCACGGTTAAAAAAACTAATTCTATCTTGCATGGTGAACATTAAGGAAGTGTATACTTTATTATTGTTTTTTTCTTGAACGATTTTATAACCATCCTATCTCCTTTATTTATTTATCATCCTTCCCTAAATTTTTTTCATTCAAAAAAAAAAAAAAAAAAAAAAAAAAAAAAAAAAAAAAAAAATTCAACCCCAGGTAAACTTTGTTGATATTGTAGCACTGATTTTAAAAAAAGCCCAAAATATTAGGAAATAGTAATCAGACAAATAGAGAGATATATGAGATTTAACGTACATACATAATTATCCACGATTTACAAATTTTGATAAAAAAAATCTCACTATAACCTTTTGTGAGCTAAAACAGTAATCTGCCATACAAATTAACAACTATAGTCATGTATTAAAATTGTGATAGTTGTAACCTTTAAAACCACACTTCGGAAAAAATAATTGATGAGGTACAACCACAGCACAACTCCGTGCTTCTTTGTCCTTTCACTGCAGTCTTTAAGCCTTGAATTAAGAAAGGATGAATTGTATCTTGTTAGAGAGAATGCTCGTTATATGTACCCTTCGTGATTGTAAATACTTTAATTTTCTCCAAAGTATGTGGTCTTGAACTCGGTTCTTCTGTTCTCTTCGAAGTTGTCCTCGACCCAGTTTGCGTTACCACATGATACACTATTTTTTTTTATATTACTTTTGGTAAAAAAAATCCAATGTTACTTTAATATTTTAAAAGCTCCTTTTATTTCTAAATAAAAACATTTCATTTTTCAATATGGTGTTAGATTTATCAACACTTTTGTCGATCGTTGTTATTTTAGCAATGGCATGTCTCATAAACACATTATAGATATCTATAGAAATTTTACCAAAATACACGAACAAAGGAAAATGTAAACAGTTTTCAATATCATTGCTCTGCTAAAACGATGATATATTGAGTATATCTACAGTATGAAATACATGATATATCTTTTTCACTTACTGCAGAAACCGGATTATCATGAATGTCAAGATACTAAAGTGTTCTGTGAATCAATGTCCTTGCATTTTATCGGCAATACCTTTATCACCCCCCCCCCCCAAAAAAAAAAAAAAAAACTATTTTAGGGAAAATACAATAGTTATTTAGGAAAAATAATGTTTTGACAACAGTTTTCCGGTTATATCAGATAATACATTTTATGAATTTTTCCAGGCAGTGGTCAGTAAATGTAAGCTAGAGGTACAACCGCAGCACAACTCCGTGCTTCTTTGTCCTTTCACTGCAGTCTTTAAGCCTTGAATTAAGAAAGGATGTAAAGGATGAATTGTATCTTGTTAGAGAGAATGCTCGTTATATGTACCCTTCGTGATTGTAAATACTTTAATTTTCTCCAAAATATGTGGTCTTGAACTCGGTTCTTCTGTTCTCTTCGAAGTTGTCCTCGACCCAGTTTGCGTTACCTTTGACGGATACCTACGGCGTTCTCTCTCCGAATTTCTGTTAATACTGTTGTCATGGATAGATTCGTTGACAATCTTTATTCTGAGCATCAACCCTCTTTTTAGTTTTCTTAGCCCAACAAGAGTCTCTTTTCTTAGTAATATATAGATCCAAGGATCAATGATAGAATTGGTCACAGCGAATCTCAAAGCGAGAAGTTCTAACTGACCACCTTCTATATCTGATGTTTCCATTAAGGATGCAGCATGTGAAAAGATCACAACCTGAAAGCCAAATAATAATTGAATAATAAATATTAAAATGAAGGCAAAACATTTTAAGAATAAAAAGATAAAACGAACTATTTATGAAAGACGTATTGCAAAACTATGCATAAAAATCCTAAATATCATAAAGAAATTTAATTTAAAAAAAATCCAAATAAAAAGTATGACATTCTTTCCCCTCAATACGTAGTTATTTGTAATCCAAATTTTTATGTATAAAACAGGAGAGGAGAAAAATGTGCCAGACTAGACAGATTTGAATCCGGGCCCCCTGAATCTCTAGTCAGATGCTCTACTAACTGAGCTACAACATGTATCTGGCCACCGTAGACTAAGTGCGTTTGACCGTCACATTCCTCCCTCCTTAAAGGTTTTCGCCCATCGAAAACACCAACTCAGGCTCTTTCATGACAGGTCTTTCACCTGTCCCTTCCAGGGCACGACACGGTACCAAATGATACAGGAGAGGAGAAAAATTCGAGGGACCAGACCGGGATTGGAACCCGGGCCCCCTAAATCTCCAGTCAGGTGCTTTACCAACTGAGCTATCTAGCCCTCGGCGATCGAACCCGTCTGCCCGCCACATGTATGTTATAGAAATATTTTTGTATGTTGTCTTTAAAGGTTTTGGAAATTATTGGTGACTTTAATAGAGCTATCTCCATTAATATTGTGTTTTTATGGCTATTGAAAATTTTTATTTATTTAGCACAAAAATTATACGCTAAGCTCGATGTTCATTCTTGAAATGTTTTTTCAATGTTCAAAGATGATTTCCTTTTTTTAAAAAAAGCATCAGTATAGCTTTTGAAAGATCATCATTCTCTGTGATTTGCAATGAGATATACAGTGAAACTTTGGTATCTCGAACACTGGTATCTCGAATACCATGAATATGTCAAACTGATTTGGAAGTCTAAATCTATACGTCAGTTTTAAATTCAATAACCCATGCTGAAAAAAAAACGTTCCAGAGTTTTAAGGAAAATGAAACCAATTTAGATCATTCAACCCTCTATTATTCTTACTGGTTCATAGATTACTCACTGGGAATAAAAATAAAAAAATGTTACTTTAAAGGAATTTAATTTGTTGCTAGTCTGGACATTAAAACCAGTTATTGTGAATAACATTTTGTAAATTTTTAAAAATTTTGAAACGATTCATTGCTCGCCTTGATAAACGTTTCTTTCTAAGGCTGGATGCTTAACAGATGTATGTCATTGAATATTGTTATTGTAAGCACCTATGATTTCTAATGCTACCTTCAAATTACAGCAATTTTTAAACTAGGATTTTTGAAAAAAAATCGAATTTTCCTACCATGAGCGGAGCCCAGCATGTAGTGAAGATGACGACAATGACCAGTAAAAAGATGATGATGTAGACGTCATTCTTCACGCTTCGTCCTGTTGATATCTGACTGCCTCGTCTAAGTTTTCTGCACACATTCAAAATCACAGATATATTTAGAAAAAGGGTACAAATCAAAATAAGCAATCCAAAAATGGAATATATATAAGAATTGATACGGTCTTCAATGGTTCCTCCTACAAAGTTGAGGAAGCACCAGGAATAGGGATAGTAATTGTAGCTGGACCCCAGACCCATTAGATGTAGGGTGGACAGAAGAAGTCCAATCAACCAAATCAATGCAAGAATGAAGTTTGTTCGACGGCCTTTGTTCCCCGAGTTGTAAAAAAATGGATAGAGAATGGCAAGAAATCGGTCAAAAGACATAGCACAAATGATCATTGCGGATGATATTAACGTAAATGTGTAAATAAACGAACTGTAATCACAAAGCTCTTTTGGAAATGTAAACGTGAAGTTTGACGCGTAACGACTCATTACTGTTGGATACACCAGAAGAATTCCACCTCCGTCAGTTATGGCCAACCCACATACAAGTCGGTAAAATGGCCGCCATTGATGATTTTTTGAAGAGAAAATTAGCACAACAAGAGCAATCGCATTTCCAATCACCCCAAAGGCAAACTGAAGAGCAGGTGGTACTGCAGATTCCCAAATATCCGTAGAGGAGTTACGAAAATTTGACGAGTTCATATTTATAAATCTAGCACACCAATTTAAAAGTTGTTACAAAAATGAAATTGTCAATGCTCCATGACAGAGAATTGGGAAGGCGGAACTTGAATTAAGCAATACTGATAAGACTGCTCTTTGCTACGTTTTGAACAATTTAAAAAAAAAAAATCTTTGCACACCCCTAATCCCAAAGAAACATATTACATGTAAAATAACAAATCACATGCATGTTTTACGTGATAAAATTCAACATGAGATCAAAATAAAAACTTGAAGGTTATCAACAGCAAATCAAACTATTATTATTAATTAACAACTCCGAACTTATAAAATGATTTCAGGTGTCGAGAAACTTGAATGTTCCATAAAAAAGAAAGTTATTTTCATTGTTGATCCTATAAGATCTGTTGCTATAAATGCACACAAATGGCATTTAAGAAAATTAATTGTGTTCCTGCATTGATGCCTTTTGACGTGTCTAGGGGGAAATTGGAACATGATTGTAAGCGTTCTCCAGCAAATTCAGAAAGGTCGATCCTAAGGGATCCAAAAGAATAATTTGACCTGAATTAGTTCATTATTATTTTCAATGAAAAATCTTCTGTGGATAAAACAGACAAAACTGTCCATATGAAATCGCGAGCCGAACTCTTTATTTTCTTCTCTGGTGAATTTTTTAGTCAAATTTATTTGCTACAAATACATTTCAAGCATTCCATTTTTTAGTAACTAAGATTTGAAAAAAGCCATTCAATTCTAGATTATCGTTCTGGTCTTCTTTGGAAAAATTGCAATTCAAAACATTAAAAATGATTTCTTATCTACATTATAGGACATCGTTATGACAAATTAATATATTATGCTCACTTCAACTTTTTAAGCTCAGTGATATCCCTTACAAAAAAAATACTATAGTAAACTATAGTTAACTATAATTTACTAAATTAACTATAGTGATAACTTTGACATTATGAAACTATAGTTAACTATAACGATAACTTTGACACTTTGATTTACTAAAGTGATAACTTTGAAAACTATAGTAATCACTTTGAACACTTTGATTTACTATGGTGATAATTTTGAAAACTTTGATTTACTTAAGTGATAACTTTGAAAACTTTGATTTACTATAATGATAACTATGACACTATAATGATCACTTTGAAAACTTTGATTTACAATAGTGATATCTTTGAAATTTTGATTTACTTTAGTTAACTATAGTAAACTATAGTTTACTATGGTATATTTTTGTTAGGGAAATTATGTTCACTTCACTTTTCATTTCTCTGATATATTATACTTCACTTTTCAAACCTCCGTGATATATTATGCGTCACCTTTCTAACCACTTTGATATGTTATGTTTATACTTCATCTCTCTAACATCTGTGATTTATTATGCTTCACCTTTCTAAAGTCTGTATTATGCTTATACCTTTCTCACCTCCGTGATTTATTATGCTTACTTCAACTTGTAACCTCTGTGATGTTATGCTTCATCTTTAAAACCCCTGTGATATATTATGCTTATACCTTTCTATCCTCTGTGATATATTACGCTTATATCTTGCTAACCTCCGTGATTTATTATGCTTACTTCAACTTGTAACCTCTGTGAAGTTATGCTTCCTCTTTATAACCTCTGTGATATATCATGCTTATACCTTTCTACCCTCTGTGATATATTGTGCCCACTTTACCTTTCTAACCTCTGTGATATATTATGTTGATACCTTTCTAACCACTGTGATATATTATGTTTATACCTTTCTAACCTCTGTGATATAATATGTTGATACCTTTCTACCCTTCTAACCTCTGTGATATATAATGTTTATACCTTTCTAACCTCTGTGATATATAATGTTTATACCTTTCTAACCTCTGTGATATATAATGTTTATAACTTTCTAACCTCTGTGATATATTATGTTTATACCTTTCTAACCTCTGTGATATATTGTGTGTATACCTTTCTAGCCTCTGTGATATATTGTGTTTATACCTTTCTAACCTCTGTGATATATTATGTTTATACCTTTCTAACCTCTGTGATATATTGTGTTTATACCTTTCTAACCTCTGTGATATATTATGTTTATACCTTTCTAACCTCCGTTGATATATTATGCCTCACCTTTCTAACCTCTGTGATATATAATGCTTCACCTTTCTAACCTCTGTAATATATTACGTTTTTACCTTTCTAACCCCCGGGATTTATTATGCTTACTTCAACTTGTAACCTCTGTGATGTTATGCTTCATCTTTATAACCCATGTGATATATTAAGATTATACCTTTATTACCTCTGTGATATGTTGATACCTTTCTAACCTCTGTGATATATTATGTTTATACCTTTCTAATCTCTGTGATATATTGTGTCCACTTTACCTTTCTAACCTCTGTGATATATTATGTTTATACCTTTCTAACCTCTGTGATATATTATGTTTATACCTTTCTAACCTCTGTGATATATTATGTTGATACCCTTCTAACCTCTGTGATATATAATGTTTATACCTTTCTAACCTCTGTGATATATAATGTTTATACCTTTCTAACCTCTGTGATATATAATGTTTATACCTTTCTAACCTCTGTGATATATTATGTTTATACCTTTCTAACCTCTGTGATATATTGTGTGTATACCTTTCTAGCCTCTGTGATATATTGTGTGTATACCTTTCTAGCCTCTGTGATATATTGTGTTTATACCTTTCTAACCTCTGTGATATATTATGTTTATACCTTTCTAACCTCCGTTGATATATTATGCCTCACCTTTCTAACCTCTGTGATATATAATGCTTCACCTTTCTAACCTCTGTAATATATTATGTTTTTACCTTTCTAACCCCCGGGATTTATTATGCTTACTTCAACTTGTAACCTCTGTGATGTTATGCTTCATCTTTATAACCCATGTGATATATTAAGATTATACCTTTATTACCTCTGTGATATGTTGATACCTTTCTAACCTCTGTGATATATTATGTTTATACCTTTCTAATCTCTGTGATATATTACGTTTATACCTTTTTAACCTCTGTGATATATTGTGCTTCACCTTTATAATCTCTGTGATATATTATGTTTATACCTTTCTAACCTCTGTGATATATTATGCTTCACCTTTCTAACCTCTGTGATATATTAAGATTATACCTTTCTAACCTCTGTGATATATTATGCTTCACCTTTCTAATCTCTGTGATATATTGTGCTCCACCTTACCTTTCTATGTGATATATTGTGCCCCACTTTACCTTTCTATGTGATATATCTTGGAGGATTCTGTGATATATTGTGCCCCACTTTACCTTTCTATGTGATATATCTTGGATCAGATGGGGTGTTGCAGTACGAACAACTCAAACGTGAAGTGATTTATATAAGCAATAAGCAATAAAAACATAGACTATAATTTCCACATTTATTAAGTTATTTTGTCATTTATTTTGTCGCATCTGTTCAATAGAAAATTACTCAAAGAAATTATTCTTTGTGGCTTGTATTGGTGTCTTATCGAATATTCATCCTTTTGTATGGCAGAGAACTTTAATAATTTATGTCTAAGCAAAATATAGCTGACAGAAAAATCTTTAAAAACAGGTAAAACATAAATTGATTACAAAAGTTTGTTCAGTATTCCTCTAATTTATATTTGTGCTTCAAAAGCTTACTATTTGGAAAAAATTGTTTCATAATGAAAAAGCTGCAAAACAGTAACAATGCAAATACTGTTACTTTTGAAGGGTGATATGGTAGGTACAATGCACATCTGTTTTATTTTTGTAGGTTATGTTTAGCATCGTGGTGGTGGTGGGGTATAATTCTTACAACATTTTACTACCCTTTTACTACCCTTTTAATCGATAGACCGACTTTTATTTGGTTTTTTACATTTACTGCGACATACATATCTTATCTTAAAAGTGTTTCCCAATTTCACAAGCATGATGGAAATTTGTACCTGAGATAAGTGAAAAACAATTTGACTACCTGTTTTAAAGCACTGTTTATCAGGGGAATAGTTCATGGAATTGCTGAACTATTGCATAATATTACCTTTATCTGAAGTATTCCTATCAAAACAAATTGACACAAATTTCTTTATTGCACACTAAATAAGTCATTTAGTTTACATAACTTCGTATAGACACTGAGAAATGTGTTTAAAAAGCTAGTTCCTTCTGTTTTTATGTGGAATTGTCTCACAGATGCTGGTAAAAATTTCGTTTATCCCAGTCGACAGAATTCGGCCCCAGTTCACTATAGGGCAGTAATTAAATTTTTGACAGGGTCAATAAATGTTATTAAATGAAAGCATAAGCAGGTTTAATTTAGTATCTCATAACTTTTCGTGTATATAAAAGTAAAAATATAGAGTATTTTTCAGTGACCCCCATAAGGCAATGACAGTGAAAATCCCCCTCCCTTCAGGAGGATTCAGGAAGGCACCTCACTGGTTTTGACATCTTAAGTGTTTCTCCTAATGCTTGTAATTTGACTTAGTTGAACAATTTGCAGAAGAACATTGCTTTCTTGTAAGTTTGACTTGATCCAGATTTGAACAATAATATATAGGTTTGACTTGATCCAGATTTGAACAATAATATATAGGTCATAAAAAAAGATTCTAATGACTTATGTTAAACTGCACTAAAACGCAATACAAAAGTTTACTGAATTGGAAATCAAAATACATAAGGAATTTTATATTCCGTCAATAAAGAAAAAAATTGAAAAAAAATCTATTACACAATCAATCCGAAATCTTAAATGCTATCAAAAAACTAATTTTAAAGAAATGGTCTTTCAGTGAACATGGTGAACATTATGAACAATATTAGCTCTGGAGACATATTCCATGACGCCTATTAGGGCGTCATGGTAAATATGCCTGTAGAGCTATAGTTGTTCATAACACCATGTTCACTGATACAACGTTATGACTTATATATGTATATAGAGGAAGAAAAGATAGAGTATGCAAATTTATCTCATACGTGTGGTGGATACTACCCATAAGATAAACCTATGCTTTATCCACTTGTAGGTCTATACTTTATCAATATCATTTCCGGTTTTAAAACAATCCCTCACATCAAGATGTAAATTTATCGAATTTTCTAAAGTTCCTGCATTATCAAATGAATGCTAATGAGCAAAGATTTTCGTCAACATCAAGAAAAGTGAAAACTCGTTTTACCTCAATAAATGCCAGTACTGGCTAATGGAATTACGGATGTTAACCCCCCTCCCCCATCCGCCCAAAATCGTTCTCATAAGAAACGTTAGGCCTAGCAGTGAAGTTTGTGTTGCATGATTCATTAGACCATGCAGAAAAGTCAAGTCAATTTCAATTTCAACAATGTTTTCTTACGTTATACTATATAGCTTACCATGGTTCTACAAGTAGCCTAGCACTGTCGCTGTATACAAAATTACTTCAGAGAAAGATTCGTGAATCCCCAGTCCTTACACAACTGTACAACTTCCAGTCAAAATATTATAAAATGAATCAAGTACAATATATCATTACATCGAATGCTGACTGATGTTTGTAGTACCATTTTTTACACACTGAATTTTTAACGCATTTTTCCATTTGCCCGGGTATGACAAGGACCGGTGACCGGTCGACAGGGGATACTTACTCCTCCGTGCCATCTGATCCCACGTCTGATGTTTTAGAGGTCTGTATTTGCTCTGCTTCTGATTTGTATTGTTTGAAAGAACTTCTGAGATTGAATGCTGTTCGTTATCTCCATATTTTATCTCCAACAGATTATCACATATGTTTCAAAAGATGATGCAGATATACGGGAGTCGTTCAAAAAATACGTAGACAATATCCTTCATCACCATATTAATTTTAAAAGATTTAAGATCAACACATTTTCATTGGTAAAAACATTTATTTTGACGATGTGAAGGGTCATTCAACTTGATTTAATGGACCTCATGTTACTCAATTTTAAGAACAACATGTTTTTTCACCAAGGAGCACGCTTAACAACATTGTAACGCCAAAAACAACATCGAGAAAGTGTCTAAAAATTACTCTACCTTTCGCTTCACACACAGTTTGTAGCGTCTTACCCATTCATAAAAATGTGTCCATAACACTTGACACCTAGTTTGCTAACAATTGTTCGAATAGCTTAAATTAGATTGTCAGTGTTTTCAAATTTTTTACCACCTAACTCTGCTTTTACAAATTCTGCAACAGTGAAGCACACATCACGTTTCATGACGTTTCTAAGTCTTTTGAAGGTTTTTAACTATAACCTGTTTCTTCGTAGACCGTCCATCGTCCAATTAAAAGTCTTTACTACTAAAAAACTTTATTTATATACAAATGTAAGGTTCAATTTTTATATTTTTCATGGTTCCTCCAGCATTTTCATAGCTTGTTTTAGAGGTTTCCATAATGCAAAGCAAAATTTTATCACTACTTGCTGCTCTGTGACGTCCTTGACATCATCGTTTTTTTTTTGTTTTTTTTAATGAAGTCCATCTGTCTTTAAAAATTGATATCTGTTAAACAAAGCAGTGTATTACATTACATTTTAGAATCTGAAGTAATAGAGCAATAATAAATTTGAACATTTAGATTATATTAATTCGTTTAAGCGCTATTTACTAGAGGTATGACTATAGACATTATGAAGTGTATAATTAGTATATCAATCAATTTCGACCCTGCTCCGTGACCCCATTTTTGCTGTCTTAAATCTTTAATAATTTTGATAAATATCAAGATATTTTCAATTTCTGACTCAGATTATTTGAATCTATTGTAAATTATGTACCAAATTTGTTTATAATATGACGTTAAATAAAAAGTTATGACAAAAGTCTACGAACTGTTTGAATGACCCTGGTAATTCCAAGATTTCATATTTTGTATGCACAAATAACTTTCTTTCGGCATGTCAACGTCAACAGTGCAACGTCATCAATTTTTCGCGTTGATTTGAGTAGAATTCAATCAACATCTTGTCACAGGGGTTATCGCAAAGTTTTGTTAAAAGCGAAAATCGTATGATATAAATATAACTATAATTATTTTGTAATTTAATTAATTGCGCAAGCCTTGCGAATATATATACCAGTTCAACACATTGGATAAAGCAAATATCAAATCACACAATATAGATATCCTTTACATAAAAATGTTTAACAATATCAAAATGTTGATCCTTATAAAAAAAGCAATACAAAATCTTCTGATATATAAATATTGCAATACATAATTTTTACAATATCATTATGACAATACAAAATCGTTTGTTCCATTAATTTGACAAGAAATTCTTAACATTTGTTTATGAAATAATACAAACTCTTAAACTTAATCAATAAGTTATATGAAATATTTAAATTCCGTCAATTAGGCAATACAAAGGTTTTTAACCTAGCAATCGGGCAATACAAAACAATGTTTATCTCTATATAAGACAAATAAGAATCTATTGATCTCTCAATGAGGCCATGCAAAATCTTACAAGCAATAAATAATATATAAAATATAATGCTATATCAATGAGGAAATGAAAGAAATACAATTTTTTAAGATAGCATTCATTTTTTGATAAAAAGTTAAAAATGCAAATATCGAATCTATGAATTAAAGCATAAACTTACATTTCGTTGTTAGAGACCTACATAATATCAAATATCAAACCACCTATTAATAAAACGAAACAAAACTGAATTGAGAATGCAATGTTGAACAACCAATGTTAAACAACGCAAAAATATGAATTGTAATACTGCTAGGAAATGACAATCAACATTGACAGAACAGGTACAATTAATCCCAGTGAACTTGAGGTGTAACATCACAGAGTCTGCCACATTTGTTTCATATTTCGATGTTTTACTGACAAAAGGCGATAAGGGCCAGTTAACAACTAAATTGTATGACAAACGAGATGATTTCAGCTTTTCCATCGTCATCTTCCTTATTTTTGTAGTAATATTCAGTTATAACCTGCATATGGTCTTTACATCTATCAACTTATTCTATACTCAAGGGCACGTTCCGAGTACGATCAATTTTTAAAACGAGGCAGGCGTCTGACAGCTAAGTTGATGTTACATGGATTTCAACAACCTTGATTTAAAGTCAGCAATTCGTAAATTCTATTGTCGTTATAATGACTTTATTAGCAAACATAACCTATCATTGGATCGCATATTGGCTGGCATGTTTCATATCAATTGTTAGGACTTGTTTTATACTGAATTCGATTACGGAATGTTCCGTCTACCTGATCAATACATATGGCTAAGGGTGGGTTTGACCGGTCAACAGGGGTTGCTTACTCCTCCTAGGCACCTGTTCCCCTTCTGGAATTCTTAAGGGGTCTTTTATATCCGTGTTTTGTTTATAGATTTTTTGAGATTGATCATTCTCCGTTATCTTTACATATTGCATTCTCCTCTTTATACAGATATAAAAAAGACATCGCAAATATTCAAACATTTCATGAATAGATCAGTCTAATTATTTAAAGAAGCTCTAAATACTAATAATGTTTTCTGAACTTAAAAAAATCTTAATATTGTAAAGGTGTTCATACTGATCTAGTTCATTTTAAACAAAGGGTACTTGACATATATTCCTAGGAAAAACGCTTTAGTGAAAAGAAATCACTGATGTTTGCATACATTGAGACTATAGATGAAAATATTGTATTCAGCTACTTTATTTTGGTCTAATTTCATGTAAAGAATATTCGATATATTTCAAATGGTTTCATATACTATAGATTTCCGCCTTTTTTTCATTTTACACTAAAGAGCAGATGGCAGCTGCATAAACTACCAAGAACTAAGAACTCTTCAGTAAGCAGTTTTAGAACTTCCTTTATATTTTGCACTACCGTAATTAATTTTTTATGGTGTCGAAATGAAATGACCATAAAATTATTGTACGCTTTGATAATTAGTTATTAAAGACAACGTTGGGTAAACTAATATTTACCTCAGCTGTCTATATTTGACTTAGTTTCCTACACCGTGACAAATTATTTGTAGCATTCTTTACTGATATATTTGGGGAATGTTATGATTTTGACAAAATGCATTCAGAATGTAGCATTTTCTACCGATATATTTGGAGGATAATTAAATGTTTGTGTTACTAATTTTGACCAGATGCCTATGGATGTAGCATTCTCTACCAATATATTTGGAGGATAATTAAATGTTTGTGTTACTAGTTTTGACCAGATGCCTATAGATGTAGCATTCTCTACTGATATATTTGGAGGATAATCAAAGGTTTGTATTACTAATTTTAACGGAATGACCTTAGACGAAACATTCTTTACTTATATATTTGGGGGATATTTAAGAGTTTCTTCGTTTAATATGAGATGGCTTCAGACGTGATTTTCTCTAATGATAAATGGAGGATTTGTCTATGTTACTGTTTTGGAATGGCTACAGTTATGAATTCTTTGTTGATATATTTGGAGGATAATTAATGGTTTGTCTATGTTCCTGTTTGCTCCCATTGTGACATTTTTTTTGGTACATTCTGAGGATAATTAAAGGTTTGTCTGCGTTACAGTTTTGGATGAGATGGCTCCCGTTTTGACATTCTTTGTTGGTATATTAGGATAGTTAAAAATTTGTCTGCGTTACTGTTTTGGATGAGATGGCTCCAGGCGTCTCTGCTATACATTGAGATCGTGACTCGGAAGATAATTTCTTCGACACTGCAATCTTCTTCGGTGATAGACAGAGGCCATACAAGTTCCCTTGGGTAAATTTCAAGAATCGTCTGACAGCTTCCAATGTTTCTTTCCGTATCAGTATATAAATCCAGGGATCTACGATGGAGTTAGAAACGGCTAGCCGGAGAACAAGCAGTTCCCTATTACCCTGTCCCGACATCTCTCCTACAGCGTGGGCTAATATCACAATCTGAAATAAAATGTGATTTATGTCATATAGATATTCCACAACATGAAACTGTCCAAGATTGATATCTTTTATTTTCTAAACATTAGTCTTAGAAAATAAAATATGTTTGGTGGACTGATGTCATGGGAAACCTTTTCACATTTCATTTTTTTTCTATTATGGGAAGATGACGTTATGGGAAACCCCTGATATAATTATCATTGGATATTATGAAGAACCTTTTTTGCGTATTATGAGACGATGACTAAATGGGAAACCATATACATGTTTATTCTTAGAATAAGAAATACGTCACGTCTGATCAAAGTTATATTATCCATATAGTATAATCGATGCCTTACTAAATCATCTACGAAACTCGATGTTGTTTTACTTTTAAATCTGTTTTGATAATCGAACGAATCTAAACTAATTGTATTTATAATATCATCTCATATTTCTCCAATTCATTTTGAATTAATTCCATACTTACGATAAGAGGCGTCCAAAGTAGGCTGATCAGGGTGAGAAGCGTCATTAGAAATACGATGTTCTTCTTCCGGTTCCGGTTTCCTTTATTCTGACAAAGATTTACAATCACAACTATGTTCAAGAGAAATGTTGTAAAAAGCAGAGCAAGGCCTATTAATGAATAAATGCAGGAATTAGCTATATCACCAGGGGACTTTCCGGCGAAATCAAAGAAGCACCAGGAACCCGGATAAAAATTATAGGTAGATCCTACGCCAACTAGATGTAACATACAGACGAAGGCACTGGACGAAAAAATGACGATCAAAGTGATGTTAACACGGCGATATTTGTTTCCTGATTTATACGTAAACGGAAAAACTATTGCCATGAATCTATCTAAGGACATGGCAAAAATGAGCATAGCAGAACACAAAATGGTGAAGGAGAAAATGAAAGAACTGTACCCACACAAAGCGTCCGGAAACTTGTAGGAAAAATTACTAGTGTACCGGATCATTACTGTCGGATACACCAAAAGTATTCCTCCGCCGTCAGTGAATGCCAGGGCTGCTACCAAGCGATAAAAAGGCCGCCATTTGTGTTGATGTGTAGAGAGAAAAATCACAGTTAATGCGATTCCATTACCCAGGATCCCTAATGTAAAATGTATAGCAGGGGGAACTATTGACTCCCAAACGCGGGTCTCCGTGGCATTCATTTTAAAGGCATATATCTATTTATATTGGCATCGCGATCGCAGTTGTAGAAAGAAATACAGTCTATGATGCAAGAAATTTGCGTTTGTCTTTTCGTCTGAACGTTTTGCCAATTTCTAGGTAACATCGGGATTTTAAGATAACGGTACCTCTGTAATCATTATAAATGAAGGCAACCCGTTCAAACACTATTGCTTCATTGAAAAGGAGATACTACACAAAACAGGATATCTCGTTTTCAAAAGCAGTGGCCCAGGGGCGAGACAAAGTATGGATACACTGTTTCGGGGGTCGTAGGATGTAAAAGTGTTACAAAAGAATACATTATCATTATCACGAAAAGACCTGTAGCTCAATCCTACGGAAGCGTATTGATGCCAATTGAAAATATTTTATTCAAAGTTGTACGTACGAGATGATGTATTGTATGTATACGAGATACTACATGTAAGTCGTACGTACGAGATAATAAAACACACGTACGAGATACTAAGCCGTACGTACGAGATACTAAGCCGTCCAATCTTGATGTATATTCCTAAAAATCTATTGTAAAAGATACATTTTACTTCTTTATTATAGCTAAGATTGAAAATATCATTACAGGTAAACTCATTTGATAACTTTTTGATATTTGTAAATGCTCTATTTAATATTGAATTATTAATCATGCCCTTTTAGCATAAAAGCATTTCTCTAAGCGACAACATGTCAACTGGTGTTCCAGTTTTGTGACCCTACCTAAGAGGATGTATAAACACACCCAAAGGAAACACTTGAAGGTATCTGAGATTGTACTGTGTGTTGGATATTCGTCCTCAGTTAAACTCAAGCACTGTTATTGATCTCACACTATCCTTTAGTTTTTGTAAATATAGCTTCCAGATAAAAAGTGCTAAATTGTCTTCATTTGATTTCCTACAATGTCGATAAAATTATCATGAGTTGGGTCGTTTTTTTATATAACATGTATAACGACATTTATTAAGAATGTATATTGTGTATTTTTAACACATGTATTTATATGGAATAAAGATTTATATGCTCTGGTATACAAAACGCATATTTGTATTTTGTGTTCATTCTGATACGAGCATTAAGAAAACACTTCAGTTGCTGAAATTGTAAATATTGATTTCTAGGTAATGAATTTACAAAGCTTGCTATATGTCAACAACATCTTCCGGAGTAAAACAATTTGATGTTGTAAATAACTCAGGGTTTAGAACATCTATGAAACAGAATCAGATTAAGATGGGGCTAGAACTCCGTGGTATGAAATTGATAAGAGAATTCCCGCTTAATAAACTCTAAAAAAAAAAATACCGCCTACAAATGAACTGACATAATTTTTATCCCGGAACATTTGACCCATTGACCCATTTTATAGAGGCCATTGGAAGTCTATGGGGAAATCAGATAAAATGACCTCCTGTCATTATACAAATCCCTCAGAAACATTTTGACAAGATATGTTTACTTGTTCTATATTATCCCCAAAAAAAAAAAAAAAAAAAAAAAAAAAAAAAAAAAAAACAACCGAAGAAAATAAAATTAATGCAATAGAACAATAATTACACTAAGGGTACATAGTACATATATTCTGTATGTGTATGTTTTTTGAAGGAGGGGGGGGGGGAGGGGGAGTCACATAGTCACACAGTCACACAAGGTAATCAAAAGTAACGTTCACAACACTCCAAGTACATATTTCTTCTCCTAATTTCCAAATTATAATTTCTTATTCCAACACCAAAACTTTGAAAACAAATATCATCAATTCACTTTTAAATTAGACCACATTCCCTTTAGATCGTCAGTCAACGAAATCACAAACAAAAAATAAACATCGCTTTATAAATAATTACCTGTAAGCACTAAAGTTTTAACCCTGATGTAAAAGTGCTTCAAGGTTAAACATGTACGTAAGGTCAATTAGTTGGATCTGTTTCACTAAATAAAAACGTAAAATGAAGGTACACTATATAAATCTACCATCCGGATTTTTCAATTTTCTTTGGTACAAAAAGTGGGGTTGAAATTATGCACAATTCATGCATCACACTGAAGGGAAAAAACTGAGCATCGTGAAATGGGAGCTTTGTCGTGGATCTCTCTTGTACAAACCATAATTTTACTTGAAATTTACTTCGAAAGCTGGATGTTCTTACGTTCACATTTCAATTGTTTTTGGTATGATTTGGATGCACTCTCAGAAAACAGTTTTCACCCAAAAGATTCTTGAAATGATTTTTTTAAATTAATGTAAATTGTTAGTTCTGATCAACACATTATTTACACTGCACTAGTTTTTTGTGAAGGTATTTTACTGTCTCCTTCCGCAGCAGTATATAAATCCATGGATCCACTATGGAGTTAGTTACAGCTAATCTCAAAACAAGAAGTTCTGTTCCCTGATTTTCACTGCTTAATTTCCAGGCAATAGAACGTATTCTCCACTGAAAAAAAAATTACTATGGAAATAATGTTTTATGCTTATCTTTTTTGTGCGATAGACTAGTGAAATTCCCTTGTTTGCATACATGACTATCCGTCTTATCGATCAGAGATGATATTTACATTCTCCGTAAAATGGGTCTATGTAGTGAAGAAATTGGAACAAAATGTCCTTTGGTTAAGGCTAATTAAGCTTATTCAATTGAGGGGTCATGCCTCAATTTCATCTGAGATAATTAAAAATAAAAGAAGGGACAGGGTAGGAATATTTAAAATTGTTTGCAATAGATAAGCATATTTTTTTTTAATCAATGCAAGGTCCCAGTTATCAGGATGAAGTAGCAAACAGTGGTACAGAATTTGCATATAAATGAACACTTTACTGGAAGTTTTTTCCGCCGAAATATGGCTGAAATATTGCCGACTCGGCGTTAAACAATAAATCAATCTGGAAGTTTTACTCGATATTTTCTCACAAAAGACCATATCTTCCATTGATCAAATTAAAATGTAAGTATTTTGATGAAAAGTAATAAAAAGTAAATCTAAAATTTTCAAGAAGTGGCCCCTGAATAAGAATATTAAGAGATTGGATATTTGCAAAGGAAAACACTTTTAAAATTTCTACATTTTCACTCATATACATCGAAGCTAAGAATTTCATACAAAGGAATTATGCTTCTGTAATGTTGATAAGCCTAAGAGTCAGGATTGTATCTGTTTTAACTTAAAAACTCCAAAGAACTTTTGGAAAATTTGAAATCACAAAATTTTACTAAAATCAATAGCATTAAAACGTACGACTTTTCAACACTTTATACAACCATTCCCCAGGATAAATTGAAGTCCAAGCCTTTGAACATCATAGAAGCTGCTTTTAAATAAAATGGAACTCGTAAATATACTTACCTTGTCATAGGTCATTTACAAAATTATTTTGTTAAAAAGCACTCTGATTGTACATTCAAGTACTCTGAAGTTAATATTAAAAAGGTTGCTTGAGTTTCTGATTGACAATATCTATGTAGTTTTGGAGATCAGGTCTTCCAAACAATCTGTTGGAATTTCCATGGGTACCAATTGTGCTTCTTATTAGGAGACCTATTTTTGCATTCATATGAAACAGAATTTATTCGAAAACTTCTACATTAGAAGAAAAGAACACTTGCTGTGGCCTTCAACTTGATATTTCGATTTTTCGACGACGTATTATCAATTAACAATAGTTACTTTCATTCATATGTCGACTCGATATATCCCAGTGAGCTTGAAATAAAAGATACCACAGATTCTGACACATCTTTTTCATCTACATATTTTACTAGAGAAAGACGTTAATGGTAACCTAACGACAAAGCTTGATGATAATCAATCAACTTTTCAATCGTCAACTTTCCTTACTTATGTAGCAATATATCCTTTTTACCTGCATATGGGGTTTATGTCTCTCAGTTGATTCGATACGCAAGAGCATGCTCTACGTATAAACAATTTCTAAAACGAGGCAAGCTATTGACAAACAAGTTGATGAAACAAGGATATCAACAGTCTCGTTTAAGTCATCTTTTCGCAAGTTTTACGGTCGATACAATGACCTTGTCAGCTCATACAACCTACCATTGAGTCAAATGCTGATTGACGTTTTTCATACTAATTGTTAGGCCATTATTTATACACTGAACTGTCTACGGATTTTTCCGTTTTTTCCCGATCATGACAAGGAGCACACGGCGTGTGTGACCGTTTGGGGATGCTCACTCCTCCATGGCACCTAATCCCACCTCTAAATTTTGAGTTCAATGTTTGCTCTGCTCCAAATTTGTATCGTTTCATTGGACTTTCGAGATTGAATACTGTTCGTTATCTTCATATTTCATCGAAAAAAAAACCCCAGAATGTCCATACTACTAGAAAACGGACGCCATCTGAAAGAGGAATCATGTTAACAATCAAACGTAACTTCCTAAAACGTGGAAAATCTGTTATACATATCACATAATTCATATACTTAATCTGCTATGTTATTGCATGTAATATTATAAAAATATATTTTAGTATCATTCTTTGTTCTCAACTTATATCTAAATAGAGAAATATAGATAGGACCATTCCAAGTTTTTTCTCTGTTTAGCGTCCACCCATCTTTCAAAAACCTACCTACCTATTCGCAAAAAACACACAAGCCAAAAAATAAAACACAGACTTTACAATAATAAAAATGACATCATTCAAAGAATTTGATTTCATGCACTCTGATGTTTCTCATAGAAACATCTTTTGATTTGTAAAATCAAGGTATTAAACATTTAAAATATACATCATATGACATACTAGAGAGAAATATTTAAAGAACTTGACAAATTTCCGAGATTTTGACCAAAATAATCAATTTTAGGACTCCTGATTTTGTTTGTTTTTTCTGAAATGGGGTGTCAAAAACCAAGGCGCACGCGGACGCTAAACATAGAAAAAACTTGGAATGGCCTAGAGTAAATATGCCCATTAATCCTTCATTATATATTTAATAGATCTTTTAAATTTGCAT